GACCTACTTACCGTATCATCTCGATGTCTGGTTCCCAGACCAGTGAAACAATTTACCTCATTGCTATCATGTGTCCCATTCATAGATAGGGGGTTATGAGATTCACTCTAGTATGTTGAACTTGAGGTGAAGATGGTATGATCCTCTTTCCTACTCCCTCATGGATGCTGGTTCCCAGTGGCAGAGTTTTGGATTGTAGTTGACATACGAACAGTATGATTCTTATCCTACCCCCAATAGATATCAGTTCCTGGCAGTCTGGGTTTTGAATGCAGTTGACTTGCTGTATATAGTCTATTATGCCCTAGCCACTATACACTATACACATCCTTTTACTCTCACCCACATTCCAGTACTATATGGGATTGAGATTTGTTATATGGTGGTTTGGATCTCTATCCCACCATTGTTCTCTCTCGTAGGGATGTGCCCCTCCCTTTTTTTCCATCCAGGTCTGCGACACCTCATTCCACACTGAGCAAAGAGTACACCTGGTACAGATGTGGTGCAGTCTCCCACACATGATCTTCTTATGTGAGAATCTACCCCTTTAGGGTGTTCTTTGCACACTTTTGAAGAATGCCTCTTTGTTTTTCCCTCACACCAATCTCTCCAGCTCGTCAGTGTGGTATTCTAGCTACTTATGTGAGTGGGGATAATGTACTGTATCAGAAGTTATAATTCTCATATACTGAAATTATATTTCTGATATGTACTTACCTCCACTCTTCCTCCCATTGAAAACTGGTACTTCCATTTTCTGCCTAAACTCAAAGTGATAGTTCAGTAGAATCAAATAGAGGGAGTAACGTGTCAGGAAAGTGTTTTGCACTGTTATTGATGGAGGGTTGTTGCATGATGATTTACATGAGAGACATATTTGAACCAATTGATTGTAAGGTACGTGGGAGCTCAAGGCTTGTGGCATGCAAAAATATTTTTGCATATAGAGGGCAGCAATAACTGAGAATAGCTATTTATGTGAGAAAAGGTAAGTACTTGTCAGAAATATATTTTCAGTATAGGAAAATTATAACTTTACTCTGTATCAATACAAAATGTGGCAAGCATTTAGTAAAAAGTACAAATCTGTTGTACAAATAAATCTGATATATTGCAAAAGTATTTGTTCTCACTATATATTTGTGAATTGACAAAGTCAGTCTGACTCATGCAAAGTGATGTTCATGTGAAGAATGAAAATACTTTTGTACATTGTACAATTTGCATTGGCATAACCTTTATTACACCTGAAATGCATATCTACAGTATTTTCAATATCTCTTTATATTATAATTGGTATTTAGTCTCCTCTACCATGAAATGTCATTAAGTCAGCAATGTAGAGTAAAATGAATGGTTGATAATTCTGACATCAAATACATAACACCATGTTGAATGACTTTCTATGAAAGGTCTCGAAATGTACACTTTGACCTCAACCTGTGCACATTGGGTTAAGTGGGATAAATTATGTAACAGACTTACAGTGGACAAGAATCCATAAAGGGCAATATATATATTAAGTTATTAAAACGTTATACAGCATCTGCAGAAAATTCTGTTCTCAGCTTTGAGATGCACAGTGATGGAAATAATTATGGACATACATAGAGGAGTCACAAATAATGAGTAATGGCCACTTAGATGATGAATTTAATAACAGTACAAATCTTTATCATCAAACATGCAAAAGGAACGTGAATAAATTATACAATGCACTATTATTTGTATGTAAGCCCTTTGTTTTACATTGAGTATTATATCTTTTTTTTTCTTACTGCCATATAGTTTATTGATGTACAGTTGAGGATATTTTTTCACAGAATATTCATTAATAATCCCCAAAACTCAAGCCACTTGTTTGGTTTCCTTTGGAACCTCTCAGCCATGGTTATGCTCTACTTTACTGGTATCTTTACCACAACACTTGCTCTATGCTTGGGATAATTGTGTTCCTGGAAGATGGATTTTTGCTTGATGAATTGTGTAACCATGAGTGTGTTCCTGAGATATTGATGTGATAGATCTGAATTCACCTCTATATCTCATCAGTCCCTCACCATGATTTACTGTAGACACTGTATAAACTGTCATTGATTAATACCAAATAGTTCAAACTTATATTCATTTGTAAAGAGCACATGTCTCCAGCTTTGTGTATTTTCACTGTTTGTGGTCTGATGCCTATTCAGATGGTTACTTCTCTTCTCAGCATTGATTTTTAATAGCTGCATGTTCACCAAAACCACTTCATGCTAGTGTTTGCATTACTTTTCTTTAGATAACATTCACACTTGTATTTACACTAAGGTCATTGACAAGATCTGTACTCAACCATCATTTGTCTTGCCAAGAAGGTACCCTTAGATATGTAACATCACATTTGGAGAGTTTCATTTTCTCTCTCAACCACATTTATTATTAATAGTGCCAGTTTTAAGAGTCTTGCATACAACTCCTACTGAAGTATGGAGTTTTACCACAATTTGTTGCATGGGGTATCCTTAGTCAGCCAAAATGTTGATTTTCATGTAGTACTTCAGCCCTAGGAGCCATGGCTTGTTTCTACTACAACAATTGTGCATAGTATGACTTCCTGTACTACAAGGCTATCTGACTGGTTGAATGAGAACTGGTCACAGTATAACGTATCTACATGGACTGTGGTGCAGTTAAAATTCCTATAGTATTTGTCCTTTATATCCTTTTTTCTTACCTTTTCTGTAAACGTTACTAATTGTTCCATGTGATGTTTAGTAGGAAGCTATTATAGCTAGCTTAGTACATGCAATAACATATTGGAATTTTAAGAAATTTGTGGTTGCTGGGCTTCAGTCTTGAATCCTTGGCTTGCATTACAATATTTAAGGACAGTGCTTTACATGTAACAGCCAATTTACCAAGACTCAAGCAGCTAACCCATATACTGGTCACGAGAATGAAATCAAAATAAGTTTGAAAATTTCCATTTATGCATGATAAATAATTTGAATCTGTGCACTTGGTTTCCCTGTGTTAATTTATGTAAAAATGAAATTTTTTTACTAAAAAAGTTAAAAGTTAAGAAATATATCACATACTTTGTGATTCAATAATATTAATTTTATTAGGTGAATTTTGTGAAGTGGGTATTGACCCTTGTCTGTCTAATCCTTGTTATCATGGGGTATGTGTTGGAAGAGGAAGTGGATTTCAATGTATCTGTGATGTAGGATTTTCAGGTAATTTGTAGAATATGTTTTATATTTTAATTATATTGTAAAATACATTTTTCTAGTTCCTTAAATTTTAAGGTGTGTGAAAGGACAAATTTTAAGCCAAACATTTATGGTTGTGTAATTGCTTAAACCTTCTCTGTAATTTGTGTGAATAACATATAACTCAATTTTACCCCAAAAAATTCACAAAAATATTTTTTTAAGTTGCAAGATAAAGTATGATACTCTTACATGTATCTATTGAGCTTTGAAGTTACATAAAAAATTACTTCTCTAGTTAGAAATAAAATTCTAGTAATATGAAACTTTATCCAAAAGAAATTACTTTTCCTACATACAAGCTCTTTAATTTTCTAACAGTATGTCTTTATAGGCTTAAGCACCTTACACATGCACTATCATGTAGGCACAAAATAATAACTTCATGTGTATGTACTTCTGTTAAGTATATATATGAATGTCTTAATTAATTCTGTTAATGCTGCATAAATACTGTAGTTTAACTTCTCAGTAAAGGTGTCTATATCACAAAGATGATTTTTTTCAACACAAAAAATTATTTTCTTTTCTTGAAAGCCTTTTATGAACCTATTTTGCCATGAAACTGTTAATTACTTGTTCCTTGTGTAGACTTTGAAGTTACTTGGTAACCCTAGAACTTTTCATGACATCAAATTCTTAAACTCTCTAGCCTAAAGCTATACTATTTTTTTTACAAAAAATGATGAAACAAGTATAATTACGACAGGAATTACTCTTTGTCCAAATTTTCCAACTATAAAAACAAATTATAAAATTACCATAAAGCTCTCCAGATTCGCTGATGCCATTTCTAACAAGAGATGTTTATGCATTAAATGCCTACTTTTCTTGTTTAATTGTATTGGAATTGTCACAGAACTACCTGGTAGTGATGATTTAATGAGTTTAGTCTGAGGAACCAAGTTTATAGGTTGGAGAACATTAAGTTCTAAAAGATATCAGTTGTAACATACAAAAAATTACTTTAACATTTTTACGAATTAAATAAGTATTCAAATATTTTATGCCTTATATTTTTGTAACTTTCAAATGATTTTATCCAAAATATATATTGTTAGAGAAACTAAGAATCAATGATGATAATAAAAAAAAGAGCCTAATTATCTGTTTCAAAGTTTTAGATCATAAACATAATATGAATATTAAACAGAAAGATGCTTATAAAAATCCTCGTTTAAAGCAATAGCATTTGTTCTCACATTGGTTTTTATTAAGAAGCTTCTCTTGTCTCTAGGGTTGTTTTGTGAGGAACAGCAAGATAAATGTACATCAAAACCTTGCTATCCTGGTGTGACCTGCTCCAGTGTTGATGGCCATTTCATATGTGGCACATGTCCAGCAGGAATGACTGGAAATGGTGTTTCTTGTTTTGTAGGTTAGCTGCACTTTAATAAAGTAAATTCAATTGACATGAAGAAATTAATTAGTGTAGTGATTATGAGTATATTAAACTTTGAATCAGATATTTTTAAATACCCTTAGTTTTTATCATATAAATGCCTCTATCAGGTAAAATAATAATAAATATTTGCATACTCGTAAGTCAAATGTCGTCACTAAAATTATCTGTAAATTCTAGAAAGTCAGAAATTATGAAACAGTATATAACTCTATACCATATTAACAGGCATATCATTAATTTTCATTATTGCCCTTAAGTGTAGTAACTAGTATTTACTTTCAGTAGCATTGTGTAGTTTTTTCAGTTTTTTGTTGAAGTTAAATGACTTGAAGTAAGTGTAATTTAATGAGCATTTGTTTTGATTTTTATCATTATTTTTCAGGCCTTTTAAATTAAAGAAATAACTTAGATTTACTGTTATATATGCAAGTTCCATTCAAATGATTAGCAGCTATATATCTCTACTGTTTTGATACATGTGTAGTGTACCTGTATGTTACTATTGAAATATGTACTTTATCTGAAGCCTTTTTCCAACTCGCCAGGTAAAATATTTCTGATGATTAATTAGAAATTTTCTTTACGGGATATTTAAATAAATAATTATACCAATGATTCTATTATTCAGTCTCCTCCATTGTTTTTAAACAAAGTCACTGCTTCTTTTGAAGTGTAAGGACTCATGTTAAAAAGAAATTCAATGTTTTAAAGTTATAATAGTCACCTTCAATCTCACAAGTAAAAACAGAAGAATATAAATCATGAAATGATGCCTCTTTAGTAGTGTTTCAATAGAATATTCATATTTTACTTTTTCCTCCTTAGCCCTTTGTCATCTTACTTGTTTGAATGGAGGACTGTGCTTTAATCAAGATTCTTGCTGGTGTCCTCGTGGTTTCACTGGGAATCGTTGTGAGACAGGTACATGTATCTAAGAGTATCTTAATATGGAAAAAAATTTTTTTCAGGATTTTATGCTATTCTTGAAAACCTGCCTTACATGTAAGCTTCATGACATGTGAATTATTATACATTTTCTGGATCTATGTGTAAAACTTTACATTTGATTTTAACAATTCTGAAAACATTTGTAAATATTAAGTTTAATTGTATTTTTCAAATATAAATATGTAACTCAGGGCTGAGTAGTTCTGCTGAACAATTATTTACTGGCTGTACAATAACTGAATGTTTACCTTGGGTGTACATTAAGTATTTTATGATCAACAATATCTTTTGTAGCTGTGTGTGACCCACCTTGTATTAATGGAGGACGGTGTCTCGGAGGGAATAAGTGTGCTTGTCAGTATGGTTATGTTGGAAGAATATGTGAAACAGGTATAGAAGCAATGCTTTGTATTGTATATTTAGTATCAAGATGAAATTATGATATTATATATATATATATATATATATATATATATACATACGTACAGAGGGTTGTTTGTTATATTGAAATTATTTTGAATATGCAAATCAGCAAATCACACGACAACCACAGCTGATATAAAGTCATGGTAAAACAGAATGTGTCAGAACTGCATTTTGTCATTGTTTGTTATTTCTTAGGTATGGTGATGCCATCAAACATTTTTCACTTTTGGGAAAGGTATATAACAGCCTTTTTTGTGTACTCAGATCATAAAAATGTGTTAAGATAGGGTATTTAGAATTTACAAGATGGCAATATTCCTTGTATTTAATGGCATTTGAAAACAAAAGAATATGGTTGAACATGGGGTATCAAACAGCTCTCCAATGGCTCTGTGGTAAGCTTGAGGGCTTATACACTATAGACTTAGTTTGGTACCAGTAGTGGGTAAAGCACAAAGAAACAATTGTATAAGTACAAGCAAACAAACAAACCATTCAGAAAAAACTGTATCACAGCCAAGATAAGCGAGGTATGATGTTCGGTAATGAGACCAACAGGGTATGGGTTCACCAAGATAAGGTTTAAAGTCATTCCTCCCATTCAACTTTCACATATATGTAGCAGCTGGAGAATGAAATGGGTATTCATGCTGTTCCTCATAAAGACATACTGATCAACTTGCAGGATACAGTGCCTATGAAGTTTTGTATGATGAAGTTATTTACATGAAAAATTGTAAAGTATGTTATCCTCATACACCAGATACATTATGATAAGCATGCAGTGAAGAATGGTGTGCTTTAGACATGGCATCCTTACTGTGGTGCTTTTTACAATGGAAATTGTGCTGTAGGGCTATTGTCAAGAGGCATGGTCATCAGATATAGTATGACTGGATGTGGTGACATAGACTGCCCCCCAGTGGCACAGAGGTATGTCTGCGAACTTACAACGCTAGAATCCAGGTCTCGACACCCATGGTTGGCAGAGCACAGATAACCTTTGTGGCTTTGTGCTTAATTACAAACAAACAGACATAGACTGTATTTGTATTGACATAATTTTAGTATAACATACTGAACCTCTTTCTCTCTCAATATACGCGGCCTGTGAGAAAAGTATCTGACCTTTGGCCGGGGAATAAAAACTGGCATACCTGGAGCGTTGGAAACCTAATCACCCTCAAAGTAGTCTCCTTGGGACTCCACGCACTTCTCCCAGCGGTGCCGCCATTGTTGGAAGCATTCCGAAAAAGCCTCTTTCGAAATGGAGTTTAGCTCGGCTGTCGTTGCAGCCATAATGTCTTCTCTTGTCTGAAATCGCGTTCCTTTCAATGGCCTCTTGAGTTTGGGGAACAGCCAGAAGTCGCAAGGAGCCATATCAGGAGAGTAAAGAGCCTGTTGAACCACAGGAGTCTGGTTTTTGCCAACAAAGTCTGAATCAAGTGCGAGGAATGTGCTGGAGCATTGTCGTGATGGAGGCGCCAATTTCCTGTTGACCACAACTCCGGTCTCCTGCGCCGCACAGCATCATGTAGGCAACGGAGGACATCCCTGTAGTACTCTTGGGTGATTGTTTGACCCTGTGGTGCGTACTCGTGGTGTACCACACCGGTCGCTCTCCACCGTTGTGCGGCCGTCTTTAAACTGGTTGTACCACTCCTTAATCTGTGTGATGCCCATAGCATCGTCACCGAAAGCCGTCTGAATCTTCCAAATGGTTTCCACCTGGCTGTCGCCCAGTTTCTGGCAAAATTTGATGCAGTAGCGCTGCTCCACTCGTTCCGTCATTTTCCTTGTAATGAAAAACTGACGAGAGCACTACACACTACCTCACTCAATGGCTGCTTGCCAACAACTGACGCAATCAACAAGCGGGAAAAAATTCACGCATGCGTACGAAGGTTCAAGGTCGGCTCATGCAAGCGCGCTTGATTCAAATCCATCAGGTTATCGCAAAAAAAAATAAAGGTCGGATACTTTTCTCACAGGCCTCGTATACACACACACACACACATATATATTATGTAAAAATATATCACTTATATTATAGAAATATGCTCCATCAAATACATGATCATACCAGCAAAATTTTCACAAAACAAAATACAATTATACTATTTATAAAGTATCATGTATTTGTTATATTTTTCTCATCAGGACTATGCAGTGCTGAGTAATTGCGTTTTTGCTTTAGATGTATTACAAATAATTGATAGATAATTCCAGTTCAGTGCACACACCTCTCTGGTGGCCTCCCATTTGTGAATTACTTCCTCTCATATTCTTCTAATAAAGAGCAAAAACCTTGATTCCCCAGTACCAAGCTGCTTGGGAGCTCTTTGGTTGAGTGTAATCCCACTGGACAAATCCACCTCACGACTTGAAGTAGGGCAGAGGTGACTACCTGGAAGTATAGTACAGGTCACCCCTACACTAAGAACCATATCATCAAAGGAGGACTGTAAAGGACAATAATAATGTAACAATACTTTATTTAAACAGAAAATAAACAAAAGAAACTAAGGCATGACACTAAATACATAGTAAACAGCAATACAACTGTAGGCTTCCTAAACTAATTTAAAAAATTTAGTCACTACAATCAACCTGTAGTACTTAACAGGTACTGTATTGAGGACATAGGATATGTGTCTTTCTTATTGGTGGAGGTGTATAATTTAATGTTAATTACATTATAAACTGAAGCAGTACACAATATTTTGTGTAGGGGTGAAAGTTTTGTTCAAAGGCCTGATGCATGCACAAAAAGGTTTTGATGTGGTGCAAAGTATTATTTATCTATTCTGTGGAGAAGTGAGTATCTGTTTGAAATACGTTTTCAGGTAAGGAAAATGTTAACTATAATGGCATATTTGTATTTTTCTGATACTTCTCTTACATTTCCATAATGAAAATAAACTTCTAATTAATATAACATGAAAATAATTAACAATTTAATCCAAAAGTTTTAAGTTTCATCTACTCACTAAAACTAGTAAAAGAAGGAAGTTTTAGTTTAATCAGAACTTACATTTGGAAAATTTGACCCATTCTAATGAGTTCTTTAAAAGATTTAATTTTTTTAAAGCAGAACATAACTAATTTGCCAAATTAAGAATACACCATCTTTAATTCAAATATAGTAAACAAAAAAAAATTATACAAAAAATATAATGGAGGTTTTTACTACATGATTGAGTGTTATTTTAGTGTTATTGAGTGTTAACAAGAGTAAATTAGTAAATGTATTCATTTTTTTACTTTAACAATGTAATGATTCAGTTTGGTTGGTTTAGAATTTTGCACAAAGCTACTTGAGGGGTATCTGCATTAGCTGTCCCTAATTTGACAGTGATAGACTAGAGGGAAGGCAGCTAGTCAGCACCAAACACTGCCAATTTTGTGGTTACTCTTTTTACCAATGAATAGCGGGATTGATTTTCACATTATAATCTCCTCACAACTGCATGGGTGAGCACATTTGGGGATGAGGATTCAAACCTGTGATCCACAGATTGCAAGTTAAGTGCCATAACCACCAGACCATGCCAGGCCTGTAATTAGTATTAGATATTTGCAGTAAAATATTTAATGAATAAAGTAGACATTCATAGGATGAATACTTCACAACTGTAATTAATCAGTAGTCAGTTATAATAGTGGGTTTTTGACTGTTACAAATTCTAATGATACTTAGTACTTAATAGTCTGTATAATATAATGTATTCTATGTACGTTTTCATTATTTCTTGGTAACTCATCTCTGTTATTTTTATTAATTTTTTTACATTTAGCTGTTTGCTCTAGAAGTTGTCAAAATGGAGGACTCTGTAAAACTCCCAATAAGTGTTCTTGTTTATCTGGCTGGAGAGGTCCTACTTGTGAAGAACCAGTGTGCGATCCTGTTTGTCAAAATGGTGGCACATGTTCACAACCTAATCTTTGTACTTGTCCCCCAGGTTTCTTTGGTGTTGATTGTAGTTCAAGTAAGTCATTTTTGTATTGTGTTTGTCAAGGCAAGCTACTGGTATAAATATAAATGTGTAGTTTACATTCAGTTGCTGTTTTAACGAACTTGATTAAATGGATTGTTAATTCTCTCTAGGTATTTGCCATCCACCCTGCCACAATGGAGGCCACTGTATGCGACATAACATCTGCAGTTGTCCAAAGGGTTGGATTGGGGCAAGATGTTGGATTCGTATGTATTTTACATCCTATAATTAACTGGTTTAACATGTTCACGTAACAGGACTTTTCCTTGTTTAAAATTTTTGTAAAACACATACTGTAATTTAATTATTTAAGACATTTAGTGATCTGTCAGTAGTAGCATACATCTAAGTTATATTGTAAATATTAAGTCTTACTTTTATTGTTGAAATATACACGTACTTCCTGTTTAAAGCTGTTTGTGAACCAAGATGCCTTAATGGAGGACGATGTTGGAAACCAAATAAGTGTTCTTGCCCATCTGGTTGGAGAGGAAGAAGATGTCATAAAGGTTAATTTTCTTTTTCTTTCACTTAATTTATTAATAATATTATTTATTAATGAATGTGTGAAATTTATCTCGTATGCTAACATATGTATTATGTATTATTGGCTTTTACTGGAAATATTGAATGAAAAGTAGAAAAATTAAATATGATTGAAAAGCCCAAAATCATTTCTTTTTTTAGACATGTGAGATTTACAGCACTTTTTTGATGCTTAGAATAAACATAAGTGAATATTTTATTTCAACAAATGGCAGATTATCTTCATTAGCAATAGGTCTAATGTAGTTCTTTTTGCTATCTAAAATGTTGTATGTAACATCTTATTTTACATACTTTTCTTAATAATTCTAAAGTATTGATATTTTTGGTGCTGGTAAAATGTACCTACTTTTTAATTCTTATAATGGAGCTAGGTCTGTTCATAAGATTTTTTTATCACCTTTTCATTATTTGTGATATTTATGTCTTGTTTTCCAGCAACATGTTTAGTGAGGTGTAGAAATGGAGGAACATGTGTGAAACCTAATATCTGTGTTTGCCCTCCAGGATTCAAAGGACTGCATTGTGAAGAGCGTAAGTTAAGTTGGTTAGGTTTATTATGTTAATTTATTATTAAGCATCATTTCTGTATTTTTAATGTATACAATTTTAATAACACTTTTTTCTCAATCCATAAATCTTCACTCTAAAGTTCCACAGTTTGAGTTATACCCAGATAATCATGTAAAAAATACTTTGCATACTGCAGGGATTTTCACTAATAAGCTACACGCTACACATATTGTTTTAAAAATTAAAGTTTTTCAAATAGAAAAGTTTTTGTTCCTTTTTAATGTACATTTCTATGTTATCAAATTAATATTTAAAACTACAACAAAGTTACTGCTCTTTGATTTATATCTGACCAATTTTTAGTTCAGTAACCTCACTGTATTTCCAAGAAATTGATAGTATAATAACAGCCTACATTATAAATAACTGAAATTATAGCTTCTGAAACCATTCAAGTATTCTTGTTTTTATGAAGAACAATCTTTTATCAGCATGTTGATGTCACTGTCAAAGAGCTACTTAATATACTACATTAAATCTAAATCTTAATTAAAATGTATAGGAACTTAGCATTCCAATTAATTAATTTTCATCATTTGTCTTTAATTTAATCCAAAATAAATTGTATGAGTTACATTCCTTTAAATTATAATTGAGCAGTATTATGTGATTTGTAAGCTATATATGTAGTACATTGAAGCAACTTGTATAGTTTATCCTTGTTGTGATCATGAGCTTTAAATTTGAAATTTGCTCTTGAAATATAATTATATTGTCCAGTTGTTTATGAAAGCTAAGATGTGCAAGAAGTCATATCTATCAACGTATTTAATAAACTGTTATCAGTCTAATTGCTCTCAGGAATGAAATTACCATTAGATGCACAGCAATGTACTTTAACTAAGGCTTGAATATAAGATTCTCTGCTTGCAATAATACTCTGAGGTCAGTCCTCTATCAAGAGATCTAGCAATATTCAAAACCCAAGCAGAGATAACTTCCTATCTCATCCTACACACTAAGATCAGAAAGCAACCAAAATAATCACATTAGATTTTATTAATATAGTTTGCCCTTTTTTATAATACCAAAATTATTTGTAATAGAGTTGACAATGTTTTGGAATTAAGTTATTCTTTTTTTTATGTTCATTGTTGTTGTCATCGTGGTTAAACCTTGATGAAAAATAAACCACTTATGTTCATGTGAAATGGAAGTTAACACTAGACATGTACCTATCCACTTACATTACAAAGTCAATTTGGATAACAGCTTGAGAAGTTAAGCAAAATCACTATCTACTTCTGTCAACTTTCAGCTCTATATGTTTAGATGTCCATATAAAGGGCATTATCATAATAACGTGAAAATTTCCATCTATTATTAAAATAATTGGCTCTTTTTTCAAATTTGACAGTTGGATTTAACTGAAAATTGTTCTCAGTTTAAGTATCGGATTATTGTAATAATATAAAACAGTATTAATTATATTAACTACAAATGGTTACAATAATGTACATAATTACTGTAATTTTTACTTTTTCTACAAAAACATAACCTGCATTAGCTAGTTCATAATAGGCCTAATGTGGGTTAAAGTGTTATTTATTGAAGCATGATAAGAAATATCTTCAGATGCTCCTTTGCTGTTTCATACATCCTCTTGAGATCATTGACTTTTCAATACAAAGGTGTCAGGAGTCGGAGAACAGGGGGCATTGAAACAGTTGTAAGAATTATTCAGTCATTTCAAATGGCTTTTTCCAATGATCAGGACAATTTTTTTGTGCTCTTCTAAATTTTTACATCCAACCTTTTTTCTCAGCCACCTGCTCTGAGAGTTGTTATCATGGAGGAAAATGTGTAAGTCCTGGAAATTGCCTCTGTTATCCAGGTTACAGTGGAATTAACTGTGAGATTTCTCAAAAAAAAAACATTCACAAACGAAGATATCAAGTAAGTGAGAATTTGCTATTGTTGAGATAAATTTATTTTAAACATTCTGCTATTGTAAAGAATGGTGAAAAGGAGTGAAACACTGAAGTATTTTACAAAATCTATATTAATACATAGAAGATATATGTATCAGTATAAGTCATAATATGAATTTAATTGACAATGGTAAATATCTGAAATACATATATGTAACTTTTATGAAACCTATTTTGGTATATACATACATATTAGAAAAAAATATTGGAGAAAATTACATGTAATTACAAATAACAAGCATGGAATATGCTACATAAATGTTTAGGGAATATTTCAGTAGACAATATTTGGTTAGTATAACAACAAAGTATTTACAGTTTATAATTGTTCAAATATTATAAGATGATTTATGGTAAATAAGTGTGTCATAATTATGAATTTTTATAATATATTATACATTCTGGTGTACAAGAATAATTTCAATCTGAAATTGAATGCATATAACCCAGAAGATAATCTTTAGTTTTCAATTATCATTATAATTTGGTAACTTCCATCTGAAAAATCTAACACATTACATTAAATCTGTAGTATTTTCATCATTAGGTATTGAACCCATAAGTTGAAATGACAGTTGTTTTCTTTACCAAACTTCAGTTACATCATCATACATCTAACTCGATAAATACAACACTAATTGTTTCTTTCTTTAGACAAATAATCCAATAGATGGAATGTGGTACATGTTATCCAGTTAATGAAATTTTAAAACTTTCTCATCTGGCATTCTGTCTTAATAGCTAGAACAATAATTGTTTCCATAATTAGACATCCACTGCAGAAGTATAGTTTATTTCCACCATACAACCTAATATTTAAAAACTTAATTATTTTCAGAATTATATATATATATCTAACTAAAAACAAAATGATAAAACTAATGTTAATGAATTTTTTTATATATATATAAATATCAAGTAGAAATGTTTTATTTACAGATATATAGACATAGACATGGATACAGACTGCAGAACCTGTTTACACACGTTCATGATGCATAAATGCATAGCTATAATGATACATGTACTTATGAGAACTTTGCAACAAGAAATAGAAATTCCATAGTTGTGTTTGAACAGTTTTATTGTATTGGAATAGAAGTTTTCTGCCTTAAATAATAGCACTGTAATTTCTCAGTTAACAGAAAAGGTTTGTGGATTTTTTTGATTTTTTTTTAAAGTAATATCCTGAACTACTTTGTTTCAAGCCAGTATGCTAAAGTCACAAGAACTATCAACCAACCATATAACTTACAAAAAAATGTGCTTGCTGGACTGCTAAAAACGTTTTTAGAAATGATTGGTGCAAGTCTGAGAAAATTTGTTTAATCTATTCTTGTTCTTCATTGGGTATAAAACCCTAAGTTTTGGAGAATAAAAATAATCTAAGGATACCAAATGAATCGAGCATATTTTGTCTACTGGCCTTCATAAATTTTTGTAGAAAACTAAAAGGTATCATAGATACAATCTTGCTCTTGGAAATCTGTTAAAAAAGCATTATACTCTATCTCAAACCCAAGAAACACCTTGAATAAAGTCTTATTTAAACAAACACTTAAAGTAGATTTTTGGTAATTAGTATGGCAGATGATTGACCTTAAATAACTTCATAATCAATACCTGTAAAGATAATAAGTCATCAAAGATCAGTATTTTATATAGCTCTTACAACAGTTGAAATGAAATAAATCAGATTATTTACCTTTTAAATGTTGTTTTATTCTTGTATTGATTTCTATAAGATATACAGTGACAAGTTAGTGAAGTATTGAAGGAAATATAAGCTTATTGTTAAATCAGTTTTCAGCTTTTGATACTGTTTGAAATTATTTTGATTTATACCAAGTTTTGCAACTAAAAAGCATGGTCACAAGTAAATAGACACAACCTTTTC